ACGTCTCCCTGAAATAGCTTGTTGCCTAATGAGCGACGCCAATAAAGCAGGAGATTGCTGGCTTTATGAGGCTATGACTCTATTAACTTACGTCAGCTTTTAGGGAAATTGCTATTAAGAGTTACAAAGCATATATGGCCTCCCCATTCCTTTCTTATTATGTCGACGCACATTGAATTGTGTATGGGAAAACGACAAAACAAGCAGTTGTATGATATTACATACGTGAATAATTGATAAATTGGTTTTGACTTATCTAGTTTTGTGTTTGATTTATTTTTTATATGGTTATCAAATGAGGATGTATGTTACTTCTTCTAATTTCTAAATTACAATTTAGAAATTACTTCTAAATTACATTTTACCAAATAATTTGTTAGTATATGCTAATTAAAAATTCAAAGTCACTTCGTTTCAGAGAAGAATAAATACTTTAACATGTAATTACAGAAACTGTCATAACCTCTAATGTACCCTGCGCTACACAATGCACATCATCGTCTTGTTTTTCAGTCCTTAGTCAGCGTGATTTAATCAAAAAGTCAAAAATTCATCTTTTACTTTTCATCTAAAAAAACTAAGGTTCATTTTTTCGCTTAACATATCACGGGACAAACTTTTAAATCTTTTGCTAGTTTTTAAAGGCATTCTCAGGCAAAAGTAACGACAACCTTGGAACTTTCTAGAGCCTCGACAAATGTTTAATAATCGTTTAAATCAAAGCACACAGAGTTTGCATGGTTAACAAATAGCTTTGATGCAGAAATTTAGAGAAACTACACAAATTATTAGAATTTTTGACATCATCTAGCTGGAAGATAGTGAATTTGGTTCGACCATGAGTAAATAATGAATTCAAATTACACGACAACTCCAACGACTGTAAGGAAAATCGCATATTTTCTTTAATGTTTTTTTTTATAAAAATTGAAACCGTTAAGTCATCAAGTTTCTGAGATGAAGTTAATAATTTATTGTTTGTCTTTCAAGGTATATGCGAGTATGGAAATAAGTACACATCCCCTGTTGCTTTGCTGCTCCGCATCCGCATATTTTTGTACATTTTTCTAGAATTTTTCTTCCTTCTGAAATACAGAGGAATTTTTTACAGGTATTCCGGTCTGAAATGATTCAAAAATCTTGATCATCAGCAGTTTATATTGTACGATATGAGTATGATAAAATCTATAACATTTTGAATTTACATTACATACTAAATATTAAAATCTGCATTTGACAAATTTTAACCTGATTTATAGAATTTTTATTTCGTCTGATTTTTACTGTGTCTGATTTTTTCCCAGTGAACATTTTTGAATGTCATCTGTGATTTGCATATAAATACTTGGCAATCTGCAAGGTATTTCCACTCCATATTGAGTGGAAAATTTGTTAAAATGAACATATAATGTGTCGAATCTTTTTCATAATTAACTAGGTATTTTATTAGAAATAATAACACCTATGGGACATTTCAACGCACAAAATTATGCTCAGTTGATGCAGAACTTTTCAATCATCAGTGGATTAAGGTTGTTCAAATATTCTGTTGTAGGGCTTAGCTTAATGGAAATAATAAGCAGATAGATCAAGGCACCGGCGCCTGACGTCTCGCTCTAGAGTGACACGGCAATTTACTCATGTAGCATAGCATAGCATAGTATAGCATAGCATAGCATAGAATAGCATAGCATAGCATAGCATAGCATAGCATAGCATAGAATAGCATAGCATAGCATAGCATAGCATATCATAGCATAGCATAGCATAGCACAGCATATCATAGCATATCATAGCATAGCATAGCATATCATAGGATAGCATGGCATATCATAGCATAGCATAGCATAGCACAGCATATCATAGCATAGCATAGTATAGCATAGCATAGCATAGCATAGCATATCATATCTAGTACAGTACACAGGAACACAACACAGGAAGAAATACAATACAGGAAGCAACCACACCCAAGCAAGCGGTGCTGTGCTTTCGTGCTTGCAACATCCCGCCAGTTGTTCCTGTATATTGAGAACTTATGAAATAAACACAACTGCAAGCTTGTGACCTTTATCTCTGTCATGTATTATAATTATGTTATCTCTGCACGCAGGATCAGGTATCTCTGCACACAGGATCACGTATCTCTGTTCACAGGATCACGTATCTCTGCTACACAGGATCAAGTATATCTGTGCATAGGATCACGTATCTCTGTACACAGGATCAAGTATCTCTGTACACAGGATCACGTATCTCTGTACACAGGATCACGTATCTCTGTACACAGGATCAAGTATCTCTGTGCACAGGATCACGTATCTCTGTACACAGGATCAAGTATCTCTGTACACAGGATCACGTATCTCTGCACACAGGATCACGTATCTCTGCACGCAGGATCACGTATCTCTGTACACAGGATCACGTATCTCAGCACACACGATCACGAATCTCTGTACACAGGATCAGGTATCTCTGTACACAGGATCACATATCTCTGCACACGGGATCAGGTATCTCTGCACACAGGATCAAGTATCTCTGTACACAGGATCACGTATCTCTGCACACAGGATCAGGTATCTCTGCACACAGGATCACGTATCTCTGTACACAGGATCACGTATTTCTGTACACAGGATCAAGTATCTCTGTACACAGGATCACGTATCTCTGTACACAGGATCACGTATCTCTGTACACAGGATCACGTATCTCTGTACACAGGATCACATATCTCTGTACACAAGATCACGTATCTCTGCACACATGATCATGCATCTTGTATACATAATCAAGTATCTCCGACACCGGAGACATCTGTAAATTCATCCTAAAAGTATATCAAAAGATTGGTTTCATCACCACCAGTTCCCACATACAAGCTTGACTGTTTAATTATTACCTCTTCACAATATATCATTATTCCACCCGTCGGTATTGTTCTCTCATATAATTACTATGTTGTCCTTGATGCCAAAATTATCAGTACTGTCCCTGTCGCTAGTCCTTCACTTCTCAACCAGGATACCTACTTGGGAATGATTTTAATTTCCTTCTTAATTACTTGTAAATGAGATAGAAATGTTAAAGTTATTAACAAGTGTCAAGGCACATTGATTAGTGGCAACTAGGTACGACAGCAAGGATATTAAGCTTAAATTATTTATTACATTTATTAAGGAAAATTAAGGAAAGCGATAATTTTTCAAGGAAAATATCGCTTTTCTTACAATTTAGTGGAAGGGTACTATACATTTTCACTCAGAAAAATAAATGGGTAAAATATTCCAAATCGTGATTTAATTTATGCTCGAGTGGCGAACAGTGCATCGCCATTTAAACAAAGTCTCACTCATTTCTCAATGTGCATCAAAGTTCATAAAACAACAATGAAGAATTCTCACGAAATAAGGATTGTTCTCATTTTGCTCTTATTCTATTTTGACATCGGTGAAAATAAGTGCCAAAGGCAAAGTGCCAAAGGCAAGTGCAGGCAATAGGCAAAGGCCGCCTAAGCCTACACGCATTAGTCCTATGTCGATTATCAAGGGTCAGATGCTCACAAATAATTGCGATATCGTATATTAGCAAGAAAAAGATGGCGGTTTGTTAAGCGAATTCGCGATTTGATGTACTACATCACACGATATATTATATATGATGGACTACATCATACGATATATTATATTATATTAATTGGTCGAATATTTTTTTTGGACACAGATACTCTCAATATAAGATTCGTTTCACGATCAATTTCGTGTTGAACCTTTTACTCAAATATTTTATATATTAGAAAGTAACTCAAACTCTGAGGGATTTTAAAATAATGTTAAAGTAAAATGCTCTGGAAAAATCGGTCCAAAGAAAAAACTATTTGCTAATTTTTTTTATTTTCGTAATCCTGATAGACGATATAATTTTAGGAAGCGAAAATTTAATAAAAACACGACAAAAACTGAGACAAAGCAAACACTTTTAAATTTATATGATCCTATAATTCAAATTTTAACACGTAATAATGACAGAATTTATAGGATATGATAAAAAATAAGAAGAATATATGGATATTTAATAATAATAATAATAATAATGATAATAAAGCAATAATAAATAAATAATAATAATTTATACGGAACACGCACAATTTTTAACAAGGAAACAGCGTGAAATAGATGTTGGCAGTTTCACAGCAGTTACCGCGACAATGTGACGCAATTGTCCGCTACGCAGTAGTTTGTTTCACTGCAGAGTTTTTAATTTGAGGGCATTTTTTTAATGGCTCTAAAGTTCAGTCTTCAATTAAAGGGCAGAGTAGCGAAGTGAAGGACTGCGTGCCTCGTATTTCGCGTCTTCCGTGATTGGCGACCTATGAAGAAATTAAGCGGCACGTACGCAGTTCTTGGGGAAATTTATAATTGTATTGTAAAAAATTGTAGAAGAAAAAATGTATTGGAAAAAATTGTAGAGAGGGAAAAGAGAAAAATTTTAATAAGTTTCACGTGATTGAAGGCAAAGTTATACATGACAAAATGCATGGAACAAATTATTTTATTTCATATGTGAAATGTTTGATGATTATGCAAGTTAAATTAGCTTAAGGCTAATTGCCTCTACCGACACGACACTTTTCGTTCGGTAAGGTAAAAATAAATAAATTATGTGACCTTAATAAATTGAGTGCAGCAATAATTCCTGGATATGACTCACGTAAATAAACATTTTAATTTAAATTATTAGGATCTTATAAATAAATATCCTGCACGTGTATACATATATCTTTAATCTCAGGCGGTAGGGGGAGTCTGGGTGGGAGTCTGTCAAGTGAAGGAGTTTGGGTGGGAGCCTGTCAAGTGAAGGAGTTTGGGTGGAAGCCTGTCAAGTGAAGGAGTTTGGGTGGGAGTCTGTCAAGTGAAGGAGTTTGGGTGGGAGCCTGTCAAGTGAAGGAGTTTGGGTGGGAGTCTGTCAAGTGAAGGAGTTTGAGTGGGAGTCTGTCAAGTGAAGGAGTTTGGGTGGAAGCCTGTCAAGTGAAGGAGTTTGGGTGGGAGCCTGTCAAGTGAAGGAGTTTGGGTGGGAGCCTGCCAAGTGAAGGAATTTGTGTGGGAGCTTGTCAAGTGAAGGAGTTTGTGTGGGAGCCTGCCAAGTGAAGGAGTTTGGGTGGGAGCCTGCCAAGTGAAGGAGTTTTGACCTATAGGCATAAGCTGCCATTCTGCCCTCACAAAAATTAACGGGTCACATTGTCCGAATATTAACACAAGTTTCTTAGCTGTATCATAAGCAGGAAGCGGACGTAGCAATTACACGTCCTATTGCCAAACTGGGTCAGGATGACTCACACGAGCGTAAAAGTGCTTCGCTATTTGGACAATGTCTCAGTAATTTCTCCAACTTTGAATAATAGATTTTTTTCTAAACAAGAAAGGGCAAAGAAAATGACAAAAAAATTTGAGGAACATAGAAAATGCCACGAATTATGAAATGGTTAAATGAAAATATTTTGAATTTGCCTAGCGTTTTTTTTTTCAACGAAAACCTTGTAAATTGGCGCGGTGCTTTCTCACGCAAATATTTTGTATTTGCATTCTGTTCTTTCAATGAAAATATGGTGAATATTAATTTTATTTTCCGTCAAGTTCGGAGCAGAGAGCGGTCTCTGGTATGGGCTACTGTAGGTTTAATCAAAATTTTGAGTTTGGCGACTGGAAGCAAGCGAACTCTGCCATTTTGTTTTCTTACAACTCCATCAGTAACTTCAAACGTCCTCGCGTTTGATTCTGGGTTTGTTTCACTTTTATCGTATTTAATTTTGGATTTATTTTTAATTCCAGCAATAGATTTATTTCTTGCATTTAACCTGATTCCTTTGAAGATCATCGCGTTAATTGGGTTTATTTCAAGCGCCAGTTGATTTTCAGAATCCGTATCTGAATTTTGTCTACCGAATTTCTGATCGTTATCAGCAGAGATAACAATGTTCTTGATATCGTTACTGGTTACGTTAAATTTTACAGTTTCATCAACATGGCGCTGTTTTATATTTTCTTTCTTATCGAAACCCGTCAAATCTTTCTCATAATCAAAATCTGAATTAATTCGAGTTGAAAAATCTGAAATATTTTGAGTTGATAAATCTGCAATATTTTGAATTGAAAAATCTGAAATATTTTGAGATGAAAAATCTGATTTATTTCGAGTTGATATATCTGAAATATTTCGAGTTGACAAATCTGAAATATTTTGAGTTGAAAAATCTGAAATATTTTGAGTTGATAAATCTGCAATATTTTGAATTGAAAAATCTGAAATATTTTGAGATGAAAAATCTGATTTATTTCGAGTTGATATATCTGAAATATTTCGAGTTGACAAATCTGAAATATTTTGAGTTGAAAATTCTGAAATATTTTGATTTCTGTGAGAAAATATCTTCCATGTTTTGGGGTTGCGGGAGACTGGCCCGTACACCCCGACCCCCCGCGGCGTGGGGTCGCCGTCCCCCCACGCCCCCGTGGGGTGAGCGTCGTAGCAGCGGCCGTACCACCACCCGCCACCGTACAGCTCAGCACAGCTCCGGTCTGATGATGAATTGTGTTGATGGTGAATTGTGTTGATGATGATGAATTGTGTTGATGAATTGTGTTGATGATGAATTGTGATGATGAATTGTGTTGATGATGAATTGTGATGATGAATTTTGTTGATGATGAATTGTGTTGATGATAAATTGCGATGATGATGAATTGTGATGATGATGAATTGTGTTGATGATGAATTGTGATGATTATAATTAATGATAATAATTATGATCAATAATGTCATGACTGCGTCAAAATTGCAAAATTGCAATTGGGGTTCGAGACTTGCAGCAAAATTGAAAATGCCGCATTGTTCAAAATCGGCGACAGGCCTGATAGTTCAATCTTCAATGCTGACCCCACCGTTATTATTATAATATTATTTATCTATAATTTTCGTTATTTTAAATATAATGCAAACTGAACTGACCGTACGAGGCGTCGTTGTCGTTGTCGTACGTAGAGAAGCGCTGCCGGTGATGCGACGAGAGTACGTCTGGCAGCGAACTGCGCTGTATGTAATGTCCTATCTGCAACTCATACCTGCAGGTACAGTTAGGTACATTTAGTTACCTTTGGTGATTAATCTAGTTATTAACATTATTTATTAGCTTATTAACATTTTCATTAGTCATCGGTATCGTATTGATAATAGAGGATATCGTAATTCGTCAAAGTATGTATCGAACAGCCGCAAGGAAACGGAACCCAGCCCAAGACTGAAAATTTTCCCTCCTCCAGAACAGTCAGTCGAATTATCGACTAAATTTATGCTGAATAATGCCAATTGCTGTCTCTGGGAGAGTTAATAGCAGCAACAGAACTATTTCTAGTCTACTTCAAACCTTTACTGTGGAATCACAAAAAAATACGATGATAATAGAGAATGTATGCAATACTTATATGAGGTTGAGGCCCTTAAACCCTACCGTGTTTCACTGGCCCCACTGGGTTGTGCAGTACTCACATGTGGTTGGGGCCTTCAACCCTTAACAGGCCCCACTGGGTTGTGCAGTACTCACATGTGGTTGGGACCTTCAACCCTGAACATGTCCACTGGGTTGTGCAGTACTCACATGTGGTTATGTGGTGGGGGCCTTCAACCCTTAACAGGCCCCACTGGGTTGTGCAGTACTCACATGTGGTTGCTGCCTTCATCCCTGAACATGTCCCACTGGGTTGTGCAGTACTCACATGTGGTTGCTGCCTTCATCCCTGAACATGTCCCACTGGGTTGTGCAGTACTCACATGTGGTGGGGGCCTTCAACCCTTAACATGCCCCACTGGGTTGTGTAGTACTCACATGTGGTTGGGGCCTTCAACCTTTACCAGCCCCACTGGGATGTGCAGTACTCACATGTGGTGGGGGCCTTCAACCCTTAACAGGCCCCACTGGGTTGTGCAGTACTCACATGTGGTTGGGGCCTTCAACCCTGAACATGTCCCACTGGCCCCACATGGCTATGCCGGCTTTACCCTCAGCGAGAAGCAGCAGCGAGTAGCGGCGGCTGGTCGTCATGTCGTGAACGTGTTTCAAACCTGTCGCAGACACGCCATATTCATGCTAACACTCATAAAAAGGGAGAAACTTTGTCCAAATTGGGATGCAGTGCTTGCTCTTGTGTGAGCCATCGTGATCCACTTCGGCCCAACATTAGGGAGTATTAGTAATACGTGTAAATAGTGTGTCACTATTTGGACAACATGACGCATTAATTTTTCCGAGAGAAAGCATCGTGTTAGAATATTGAAGGATAAACTATCCTCTTTAGTATTATTTTCAGTAATAGTAGAATTGGTGGTAGTTTTAAAATGTATTAAAAATGAGTCAACGAAGAGAATACGTGTTTCGTATAATATTCAATAAAATGAAGTTATGATGAAAAAGGGTTTTGGGCATTATTTCCTAGACACGGAAGGAAAAATTTCAGTTGATCAATGTCTATTGAAAAGCGTTAAGAAGCGAAATGCGTTGTTTCCATGCAGATTGGCATTTCAAAATGGCATTATTGATTAAATTTTAATTCATAAAAGAATTTTCTTGTAATTATATTCCAAGGAAATCGGGAAAGGTTATTTTTTCCACCTGTATGACAAAAAAAGAACAAATCGATATATTACCTAAAAAGTATTCGCCATTTAAATATCCGAATCCTGATTCATATTCAGCCCAGGGTCGTGTGAAGTTCTCCCAGGTCGGACCAGAATTTTTTAGTTGGGATTCAGATCCTTCCGAAATGTTGACAGCTTCATTACTGACTCTATTCCAAAATAAACTATTATCAGTTTCACGTTCTACCTCAATGCCCTCGCTTTCTAGAGGAACGTCAAAGAAGGCAGACAAGTTTACTGGATGGTCGTTGCCTTCGATTGCGGTTTCATCCATGGAGGAAAATCCATTGTGTTTTCTGTTAACTTTGATCTTTCTGTCCCGGTTAAGAATTACGGTCCAGCCTCCCCCGAACTCCACAAGGTTCATGTCACAGAAAACATTGACGCCGACGGTGTCGGTGACGCCATAAGAACCACATCTGGAAATACACATGAATGAGTTTTCAGTAGCTATTAATTTAAGAGAATATAATAGTTCATTGACCTGTCATGGTAGATTATGTACATTCACAAGTCTACCAATCTGTCAGGGTAGATTTTGTACACCTACATGTCTCTGCTGACCGGTCCGAGTAGATTATATACATCACAAGTCTACCGACCTGTCAGTGTAGATTGTGTCGCACCCCAAAGTCTACCGACCTGTCAGGGTAGATTGTGTCACACCTCAAAGTCTACCGACTTGTCAGTGGTCAGTGTAGATTGTGTCACACCTGAAAGTCTACCGACTTGTCAGTGGTCAGTGTAGATTGTGTCACACCTTAAAGTCTACCGACCTGTCAGGGTAGATTGTATACACCCGTGACTCTCGTTCCCCTCGCCTGTAGATGTCCCAGCAGTCCCTGGGCCTGGTATGGAATATATGAATATTAATATTAAAACTATTGTTATTAATGTTACTATTAATATTATAATATTATATTACGTGAAGATGTTGATCATAATTCTGCTGTGGGAAGCTCAACTGACTAAAAATATCAGATTAAAATATTAGTTAACAGTTGGAAAAATAATTCATCATTCATCAATTAGCATGCCACTTTTTTACCTTGAATGATAAGTCGTTACTCTTAATTGCGAAACATTTTTGATGCTCTCATTCTCATGCACAAGAAGCTTCCTCTTAGCTTCCAAAGATTCGATATCCTTTTCAACATCTTGCAACATTTTCTTGATGATATCTTTCTGCAGTTTTTCCTGTTGGTTCGCGTCAATATTGTCCAAAACACGCCTCAACTTCTCATGCTGTTCGTCTTGCGCCGCGATAATTTCTCTCATGGCAGAAATTATCTGCTCATCTGCATGGCTCTCCTCCTCTACGACGGTTTCATTATTGACCAAATCCAGTATTTCATTCATCAATCTGGCGTTCTCAATTTCCAGAGTTCCAGTGTTGTTCTGCAGTTCTCTTCGGTCGTTGTCGATGGCTGCCAGGGATTCCAGAGAAGCTCTCGTTTTTTCATTTTCTTCAAGAATTGCCGAAGCAATTTCCGCGAAGCCATTTTTCGAAATATTGAAAATTTCTTCTCCAGCCTCATGGCTCTCGGCCCCTGATGCCTCAAAAGCCGCCACAACCTCCAGGCTAAAGTTCTCGACTTTAGTTGACAGTTCTGAAAAGAAGTTCAACAAGAACTCTACTGTGGTTCGATACAATAAACTGAGGATATAAGCACAAAAAATAATGTCAATGCTATTCGTGCATAAAGCCCTGGTAACGACAGTTACCGTCAGTAGAAAAAGGGGTAACCCTTTTTCTACTGACAGATTACCCGTCGTCAATGCTATTCGTACCTATCACCCTGGTAACGAGAGTAACCCTCAGTAGACAAAGGGTAACTTTTGCCTACCGACACATTACCCGGCGTTAATGCTATTCGTACCTAAAGGCCTGGTAACGAGAGTAACCGTCAGTAGACAAAGGGTAACGTAAGTAACTAAGGTATTGGGCCACCCACCCACTAGACCAGCGGTCAACCCCGAGATGTCGAGGGGTGGGGGAGGGGGGAGGAGCTTCTGCAGCTTAGCTGCGGCCGCCGACAGCCCTCGGACGAGGTGGATGGGGATGGTCGCCACCTTCAGGGGATATCATATTATACAGGGATAATATAATAATAGTAATATTATTATTGTTATTAATATTATAATATTAATAGTAATATAAATGATGATATTATAGTATATGAAGAAAGTTATATTAATTAGAAACTTTTTTCAACTTCCAAAACATGACCAGCCATAGACAACGTATGAATAGACATAGATCGATAACATATACTGTATGTAACCCACATTCCACTTAGGAGATAAGACTCATAAATTAGATTTTTTTCTAAAATACTGAGAAATTTTTTGAGGTATCACTAGTCGAACATTCAGAGAAATATGTGAGTTTTGTTAAATAGCAAAGCACTTTTAATGTAACTGTTGGTTATTCTGATCCGGTATAGGGGTATCTATATAGCTACGTTTGCTCGTGAAAATGTGTCACAATGTGACTCATTCATTTTTCTGAGTGAACTGAAGAAATTCTATTCACTCCGCTTGCGTTAAATGAAATTAGAACTAATTTCAAAACTTCTAACCCGAAGATTCCACTCCATGGATTGATATTAAATAAATGGTATTTAAATAGTAGCGCTCACTCATATAGAATAGAATAGAAGTGTCGGCACTGAAGAAATATGCCCATGGCCTATAAGGAAGGGATCACAATGAAGGATGGTCACTATATAATGAAGGGATCACAATGACCAAATGGTGACACACTTCCTGCTTTTTTAACTGATGTTCTCTTATACGGAGCTGAAATACATATGCATGACCCACACACGGGCGAAAGGTGCATCGCTATTTAGACAAAGTCGCACTTATTTTTCTGAGACCTTGTTGCCCTCAAGTCAACTTACGACTGACCGATAAAGCTAAAAGACACAAAGGATATTTAGACAAAGTCCCACTAATTTTTCTGAGACTTTGTTGCCCTCAAATCAACTAACGACTGACCGATAAAGCTAAAAGACACAAAGGAGATTTAGACAAAGTCCCGCTTATTTTTCTGAGACCTTGTTGCCCTCAAGTCAACTCACAACGCAGGTGTTCTCGGTCTCCTCGTAGGCGGGGGCGGTCTGCACCAGCGATGCCACAAAGTATAGGCCCAGGAAGAAACAATGTCTCCGTGACGTCATTGTGATGGTGAAAACTCAACTACTTCTGCACTTGTGATGCCTTATGTTTGAGTGGTGACCGATGCTACGTAGTGACCGATGGTAAGTAGTGACCGATGCTGAAATAGAGACGGATGCTAAGAAGTGACGGATGCTAAGAAGTGACGGATGCTAAGAAGTGACGGATGCTAAGAAGTGACGGATGCTAAGAGGGACCGAAGATAAGTGGTGATAAATGATTAATTAGTGACCTATGCTCAAGTAGTGACGGATGCTAAGTAGTGAGCGAAGCTAAAGTAGTGACCGACGCTAAGTAGTGACTGAAGTTAAGTAGTGACTGAAAATAAGTAGTGACCGATAATTAATTACTGACCGGTGCTCAAGTAATCCGATAAAAAATAGTTCATATTTTTTCTTGTGAAATTATGATGCAATGCAATTTAATGAAACCGATCATAGCTAATGTGATATTAAGGACTAAAAATATTACCAATACGAGAATAATTTGAATGTTGAAACACGCATGCAATGGCCGAAAATTCGTGCAGTCTTGTAGCCGAACGTCATTGTATGCGGAAATCACGAATAAAAATTTCTGTGTAACTATCATGAATGTTAATTTTACCACGTTTTTCTTAGCTCGCTTTCGTGTCCGTCTGTGATGATCAAATCTTGCAATCGATATTTCACCAACTTTCCCGCTAGCTAGCGCTCTGAAACTTTTAGGGAAGCTCAGCTGCCGATGACAATACAATAATCAATAATTTGTTGCACGTTTCCAGGCGTATTTATTCAATGGAATGCGTGGAATTTATTCAATTGGTGCATGAAATGAGATGAAATTACATGCACCAATGTATCCCCTCGAATACAATTTTCTACAGAACTTCGAAAAGAATTTTCTTTCGTGCATTTGCGTGGCCAACTGAAATAAAATGAATATTATGTAGGACTAAAAAGGTGAAAATAAAATACTTTAAAAAACACGTTTTTCTTGTGGACTAAAAAGTAGAAAATAAATTATGGCTCGCCCCAAAAAACGTGGGTCGGGCAGATTTATGATTAAAGCGAAAAGCACACAACACACGAATTTTGGAAATTTGATGATGAACGTACAGCCATACCCACGTTTTTTGGGGCGAGCCATAATTTATTTTCTACTTTTTAGTCCACAAGAAAAACGTGTTTTTAAAAAAGTTTTTTTAGGTAATTTATTTTCTACTTTTTAGTCCACAAGAAAAACGTGGTTTTTTAAAAAGTTTTTTTTAAAGTATTTTATTAGTGTGGATATCTAGGATTTCCATACACTGCACTGTCAGTACACTCACTGCACTGCCAGTACACTCACTGCACTGCCAGTACACTCACTGCACTGCCAGTACACTCACTGCACTGCCAGTACACTCACTGCACTGTCAGTACACACACTGCACTGCCAGTACACTCACTGCACTGACACTGCACTGCCAGTACACACACTGCACTGCCAGTACACTCACTGCACTGCCAGAAAACTCACTGCACTGCCTGTACACTCACTGCACTGCCAGTACACTCACTGCAATGCCGGCAGTGCACCTACTGTCTTATCAGCTGCAGCTGGGTCGGCCGCTGCGGTGCACGCATACCGCTTTTGCACTATCAGGCCGCATCGGGATGCACCGAACCGCAATGTGAAGCCTCGGACCTCAAAGGGGTTGCTTCGGACCGCATCGGGATACATCGGACCGCATCGGGATACATCGGACCGCATCGGGATACATCGGACCGCATCGGGATTCATCGGACAACATCGGCCCGAAACGGGATGCATCGGACCGCATTGAGATGTTAAAAAAGTCCAAGTAACCGGCTTACAACGGCAGAATTTGTTGCTTCATCAAGAGAGGTAAATGCTGCAGAAAAAAGATGCTGGCTGAAGATAACTGGGTCGCCTGCCGAAGACCACCACTGCCCTGGATGTAATGGACCATAATGATTCCTGCCTTCCGGAACGTAGCCTTCATCACTTGAAACCGTCCGTATCTAGGCCGTGGGTCGAACCAGCCCTCGGTCAAACGGCCACTTGTCGAAGGACGATAAATTTTGGAACAGAACTATGCTATCAGAAACCTAACCTCAGTGAACGTGAAATTACGTAATTTAACGACAAACCGAGACGGAGGACAAAACCGAGATGTTCACGGCTGATTGGTGGATGTCCGGAGAGATCCAAGGCATTCGATTCAGGGCTTATTGGTGGTGCACGGCTGCGTTCTAAGATAACTCATAAGAAGAGCCAATTTGCAAAACATAGCAAACTTCGTGTCAGTTTATCGTGAAAAGAAAACACAACATCGTCTTCAGTTTGTTTTCTTAAGGAAAAAGATGTCATTCAGGGTACAGGTTTGGGCTCATAGCTACATACATTTGCAGCTAAATCTTCCACAGTTTAGAGCAAAATCTGCCACAGATTGGAGGCTAAATCTTTTACAAATATGCGAAAAAATCTGTCACAGATTAGCGGTCAAATCTTTCACAGATTTGTAAGAAATTTCACAGATTTACGGTCAAATCTGAGATTAACAAATAAACAAGGAACAGATGTAAGAATAAATCTATCACAGGTTTGCAGCCAATGGAAAATGACACTATTTTTTAATACTTACATTTGATCATAACTATGAAACGTATAATCTCTTCTCGAATTACAATGTTCTTGAATACAAAAGATAATGAGAATTTAACAAAATGAAACTAAGCAATAAAGAGACAAATATTTTGACTGGAAATGCGTGCACACTGCACAGGTTACCAGTAGTCTACTCCTGCTACGAATCCACATCGAAAATTAGCTGAAAAATTTTCTACATTATAAAAACATTTTTTCGCGATTTAGACCATTTCTTGGGGCCTGAAAACGTATTATCGAGCCTGAAAACGTTTTACGAGCAAAAAAAAGTTTTTTTTTCAGGCAAAAAAAAGTTTTTTTCAAGCCAAAAAAAGTTTATTTGAGCCAAAAAACATTTCTTTGAGACAAAAAGTTTCTTCAAGCCAAAAAGCGTTTCTTCGAGCAAAAAAAAAAAAAACGTTTCACGAGCCTAAAAACATTTCTTCGAGCCAGAACTTACTTTTATACGTATTTAGAGCCTGTAAACGTTCATCAGCTCTATTTTATAAGAGACAAATAGAGCACTGGAAACATTTGAAATAGGAATTATAGATATTATTTGAAATTAGGACATTTAAATAATCTGGAGAGGAGCTTTGGTTAGAGCGTTAGAGTTAAGGAGGTAGCGGTAGCAGCGTTATAGATGAGGGTGTTGTTGAGAGGAACATACTGCGCTGTTATTAACTTGATTATCTCGTGCGCTGCACAGCCTCCTACGTATGAAGCCACGCTGTGGATCTGCACACATCAAGAACAATAACAACATAATACACTTATAATAAAAAATAGCAATAATAATATCTTGCATTTATAATATCTCCAGACATACCTTATAATAATACTATCAATAACACGAATCAATAATATAGGAATCAATACAAAATAATTAGCCGTGGAGCTGCTTTATCCATTGTAGTTGATATTTAACGGAATTAGCTGTGCATTTGCAAAAATGTCCTCACAAAAGCGAAATTAGCTAAATTTTTTATTTTTTCATTATACGGTATATTCACTTTCTTTGAAGTAAAAAATGTGCCCCTGCCAAGTAATTTCGTTTTTTGCAGGAAAAAGGCACAATATTCGTTATAAAATATATATACCGTTATATATAATATTCGCTATATATAATTTCGTTTTGTGCAGGAAAAAGGCACAATTCCACGTCGAACGCTTCACAAAAAATGTCAGAAAATTGGAATAACTTTGTTTCGTTATTTAGACAGATATTTTTCATTTAATTTTCATGAAATACGAACAACTTTATAACATTAATTTTAATAATGTTAATAGAGATTACGATTATTTAATAATGCAAATAGATATTTGGATTGATTAATAATGCAAATAGATATTAAGATTATTTAATAATGCAAATAGATATTAAGATTATTTAATAATGCAAATAGATATTAAGATTAATTAATAATGCAAATAGATATTTGGATTGATTAATAATGTATATAGATATTTAGACTAATAATGCAAATAGATATCTGAATTAATTAATAATATAATAACTGCGTATATACCTATTTACATTATTTTCACTATTTCAAAAAATCTATTTGAAATATTATAATATATTTATTATAATATAATATTTCAATAGCACATATTTTATTATATCATGAATATTATTATATTATAAATAGATATTAAATACTCTAATATAATATATAAATAAAAACAAGATATTGTAAGCACGTCACCTGAGCGGCGCCGTAGCGGCACATCTCGTGGATGTGGTCGTCCTTGACGGTGAACACCGGGGCGCTACCGCCCCCCCACTCTGATAACAGCCTGTTGACGCACACCTGGGCAGATAACAGCTGATAACAACGTATAGTTCCCTCTGTTGACGCACACCTAAACAGATAACAGCTGATAACAACGTATAGTTCCCTCTGTTGACGCACACCTGTGCACAGATAACAGCTGATAACAACTGATTAGTTCCCTCTGTTGACGCACACCTGGGCACAGATAACAGCTGATAACAGCGTATAGCTCCCTCTGTTTACGTACACCTGTGCACAGATAACAGCTGATAAGGTATAGTCTCTTCTGTTGACGCACACCTGTGCAGAGATAACAGCTGATAACAACAGATTATCTCAGACACTGGCAATTGAACATGTTCACATCATATCCAGATTTATTCATTTAAATTAACCCTTCTCATTCATACACACATTCTAACAGGGAAAGATAACAGAGTGAATTTCAAGTTTAACCAGGATAACAGTTCCAAGCTACACTGGAATTCTTATGGATTATACAAATACAAAATTATACAAAAGATGTTGCCTTCGATACAGATGTGTATCTATGAGCTACACTTCAATAACACAGTTGCCACACAATATAAATAATATTGTAGAATATTATATTTGCTGTACAATATCATATCATTTTAAGTGTAGCTTATCGTATTAGCAACACAAGGATCTCTAAATTAGTGATAAGTGCTAAAAGAAAAATATACATGCAAAGGAAATTAGGTTTAGGTTGATTACTACACTAACCTGGTTTACATTGAGATTATTACATGACTGTTGCATTGAGGTTAAAACACTATTAATTATTACTGGATTTAGTTGAAAGTACATTCAATCAACGTTAACTAAACATAAGCTGCGTCACCTTGAGCCTGACGATGTCAGAGGCTGAAATAATGTTAATTATTAAAGAATTTCGTTGAAACAACATTTAATCAACGTTAATTAAACATTTGATGCGTCACTCCAAGGAAATAAGGCTGAAACAATGTTGATTATTACTGAATTTCGTTAAAAAAAACATTTATTACTGGATTAATATTACTGAATTTCGTTGAAATAGCATTTAATCAACATTAATTCAACATAAGCTGCGGTACCTTGAGCCTGACGATGTCAGCCTCGACCTGATGGTCATGGTAGCCTGGCCAGCACCGGAACTCTGAGTGGAAGACGTCAGCGGCCCGTAGGAGGACGTACCAGACGACGTCGCTGTCGCTCACCTCCACCTCCCCTCCTGTGACACAACAGGGTCTATACTTTCAAAAAAAGTTAAGAGATCGTAAGTTCATCAGCCAATCATTGACGGCCTTTCAAGCCACTCTTTTAAAAACAGTTAAGAGATCGTAAGTTCATCAGCCAATCATTGACGGCCTTTCAAGCAAAATCCACCAATCACAGACAAGAAAATAGAGCGTAAGTACTTACGTTCACTTAGCGAGTTTTGAAAGTAAGGCCGCAGTTGTAGTATTGCCATGTACTGAATTGATATGTATTGTATGCCAGGAAATTAGCAGTCATGTAAACTTGTACATTTAGTAGGAAATTTGTACGAGTATTCACCACCGAGGTTGACTTTGCCGCAGTACTCAGCAGCGACGCTGGTGCCGTGGATGACGCGAAGATGTGACGCGTGGCGACACATCAGTCGCACCTGTGACTCTGACACCAGCCCTCCGCTCCCTGACGAGTACATGTATACATGATGATTACAAGAAATATAGAAAATAAGGTGTATAAATACACGAGTAACCGTATATTATACGGTTAACTATACATTAAGTATGGCATTAACTAGGAACAATGCAATTATGACGTTCCATAAATATTTGTACAAGAGCCTAATATGCTCTTTGGGTAAAAAATGTTCGAATCTCGTTAATTAAGAATTTGTGTTCATTGAACGAGTTATTCGAAAGTTTACATGTTTAACGAAAGTGAACGAGTGACTAAAAGTGGTAGCACATAAACTTGACAAATTTTCAGGCGTTGGACATTATAAGAGTCATTATTATAAACACCTGACGTTTTGGTACCGTAATTTTTTAACATGTTATAAAAAGAAAACGTGACATATTTTCATGTTTTCGTGTTTATTGTTGCTGCTAATTGATATTTTATCCTTGCATAGATATTTTAGGTAAATTTTTGTGTCTATAAACTAACATGTTGCCTGTAAATGGCAAACCTCTCCGATTTTCAAAGAGGCCAAATTGTTGGAGCCCGTATGACAGGTGCTAGTGTGACAGAAACTTTCCGAATGCTTGACGTTTCTAGAGGTACTGTCTCAAAATTAATTACCGGTACTGCTTTTGAAAGAGAAAGTAAAACGTTCTCAGCATAGCACATGTCTGGCCGAAAGTCGGAAATTTTCTGAGAGAGACCGTCGGTACCTAAATCGAATTGTGAGGGCCAATCGAAAGACGGCGGCTGTTAAAATTACTGCAGACCTCAATGGACACCTACAGAACCCAGTTTCCATAAAGACTGTCCGCCGAGAGCTGCGCAGATATGGTTTATTTAAAAAAGCTGCAATTAGAAAACCTCTGGTTTCAAATATAAATGCTTCAAAGCGTTTAAAGCGTTTAGAGTGCTGTAAAAACCTCTCCAATTGGTCCTTCGAGCAATGGAAAAAATGTAATTTTCTCTGACGAATCATCGTTCACCTTATTTCTAAACTACAATCCGGCAGACCAATGATTTCTCTTCATGGATCAATTACCGTTACTATTTATGAATTTTGAAGGACCAAGTTCACCCAGTGGTTTAAGCACTGTTTACAGAGGGAAACGCCATTTTTCTGGATGATAAAGCCACATACAACCGTAAATATTAAAAAATGGCACGAGGAACATTCTAATGAAGCTGAGCATCTCATTTCGCCACCAAAATAACCAAACCTGAATATTATCAAGCATTTATGGTGGATTTTAGATATGCAAGTCAGAAGTCGATTCCCGCCGCCATCGTCTTCCAAAGAGCTAGAGGGAGTTTTAACTAAAAAATGTGTTAAAATTCATTTTGGAACCATTCACAATTTCTATGAATCAATACCTCGGAGAATTGAGGCTGTAATCGCCGCAAAAGGCGAACCTACACCAAACTAAAATATGTTTTGAGGATTTCTCAGGTGTTTTCCTTATTTTATCTAACATTGTACATATACTATATGACCTGTGAGACGGACATTATGGTGTCTGCTAAGTGAACTCTACTGCTCGATTAAATGAGTCTTCGCAGATATTTGCTGATCAACGCAGTGAAAAAAAACGTTCATCAAGCAACTCTTATTTATGGTATGTTACTGTAACCCTTCCCCCCTACCCACCTTCGGCGGTCCCGATCCCCGCCCACCTTTGGCGGTCTCGACCCCCGCCCACCTTTGGCGGACCCGACCCCCGCCCACCTTTGGCGGTCTCGACCCCCGCCCACCTTTGGCGGTCCCGACCCCGCCCACCTTTGGCGGTCAACCTCCCCGGCCGCCACCCACCTTTGACCTCCCCGGCCGCCACCCACCTTTGACCTCCCCGGCCGCCACCCACCTTTGACCTCCCCGACCCTGACCCACCTTTGACCTCCCCATTGGCAGGACGGGTCTCGGCGAGGGAGGAGGTCCTACAGGAGAGCTGCTGGCAGCGGTCCTGCGCGTGACGTAGCACCGCCTCGCTGTCAAGGGCAGCTTGCTCCCGGTAACTACAAATAAAACTTTTTTATTAGCAAGAAGAAGCTTTATAAAACTTATATAGAAACTTTAATAAAACTTTTTTATTGGGAAGAAGAAACTTTAAGAAACTTTTATAAAACTTTTTTTATTGGGAAGAAAACTTTTTTATATTTTTTGTATATTGCACGATATGGAAGAGTAAAAGCGTGCTTAACACCATAGTCGTGATCAGGATACCTCAGTTGTAAAAAGATCATCAGAATAATTGAGTTAGAGATCATCAGATTACTTGAGTTTAAAGGTGGGTCAGTATGTTATAATGAATTGTTATCTTAAATGCTGGAAGACTAGTGCCGCAATGCTTGCATGATGTTTTCGACATGAAAGTAATAGGTACTTCTCATTTGCTTTGCTAGTAAGAAAACTAAGCATACAATATCACACGTAGCAAGCAATAGATGTTTTACATTTCGATGTTGCTGATATGAAATCAATAATATATCAGTGTATCTGCCAGAATTATGAAACGTGTTCTGCATCTCGATGTAGCCGGCAGAATTAAGTAAATTTACATGTTCTGCATCTCGATGTAGCTGGCAGAGTCAGCGGTCATGTCAGGCACGACGCCTGTCACAGGAAGTCGCTTGTTCTCCTCCAGGAAAGTCTGTAGTCCTGCCAGGACCAGCCAGAAGGGGGGCGTCGCAGGGGTGATGGGGGAGGGTAGGAGGGCAAACAGCTCCTCCAGGGATGAAGGTATCCTGCAATCCCCCAGGCAGGTGTTTATGGCCTTGATCGCTTCTTCAAAATTCTCTTCTGGCTCCCCCGAAGATTTTTGTCTCATGCCTGAGAGGGTGAATATGGCGTCAAACTTGGTTTAGCATGAATATTATTAAATAAAATTTTAATTTATAATCGATATTATTATAGAACTATAATTATAACACCAAATTTGCCGCATTATAACACGTAAATTATGTTATCAGGCAAATTTAAGTGATGAATAAAATGCTGAATAGTAAAAGGATGAATAGTAGAAAGAGATAAAAGAAATAAGATAGAAATAAGGGATAATAATAGGATTTATTGAAAATGTATACAATGACTCGTGATACCAGCAGCTTCATTCACAGAATGTACAACATCATTTGATCTCCAGCTCAACATTTCTATTAAATGCTCACTAATTTCACTCACAAAAAATTCTACCTACGAAGTGACTCCCGCAAAAATAACAGCGGCAATAAATTACAAGGGCAATTTAGACTGTGATGTAACATGTGAGTTACATTACAGGATAAATTCGTTTTTCGCCATAACTTGGTTATTTCTTCTTCACCATAAATGGAGAACGATATCGAACCCTGTTCACAAATATGAACACTTAAATAATTGTAACAGTACTAACCGTCCCTAATCATCAGCCCAAACATCTTCTTTTCCTTGTAGTTTTGAGGCGGTCTTCCATGTTCCTCAATCCATTTCTGCAGAAATTTATATATGATAACAACATAAGGCGTGTGGCTGTGATCCTTGTCAGACAGCGACTCAAGATCAACAGAATCAAAATATTTCTTCAGGGCGGGGAATGGATCGAGCAGGCGGAGGTCTGGCAACTCGTTCTCAGGGTGACTTTCAACGATCGTTAATTCCTCGACCTGGAACACAATAGCAAGTTGAAAAACAATAATTGAACATAAAATTAATTGAGATGTGAATGACTGTAATATTATTCATGGGATCTAAAGGCATTAATGCGAAGATCTGGCAACTCGTTCTGAGGGTGGCTTTCAGCGATCGTTAATTCCTCGACCTGGAACACAATAGCAAGTTGAAAAAAAATATAACTAAGTACTCACTGCAGTGAGTGACAGAGAGCGCATTTTCTCGTCGAACGAAAACGTGAAGTCACGGACGGACGGACGGACGGACGGACGGACAGACAGACAGACGGACATGGCGAGTACAATAGTGGATTTTTTCCATAAATGAGAAAATGCGCTAACAATAATTGAACATAAAATTAACTGAGGGATATGAATGACTGTAATAATATTCATGAGATGTTAAGGTATCAGCGGTGCTCACTTGTATTCTGATGTAGCCTATGAAGCCATAGCTGCGCACCACGACCAGGGGAACTTTGGCCCTCCACAGGCACTCCGACAACTCCAGCAGCGTTCTGGTGGTGAAAGATGGTAGTGAAAGATAGGGTATGAGGATAGAAATGAAAGATGGGGTACAAGGAAGTGAAAAATTGGATTTAACAGGGACAACAGCACCATAGAAAAAGGCGTATTTTGTGCACATTAACAGTATTGAGCCTCACTTTTTGCACACATTAACTGCATTTAGCGTCAAATTTTGTTCATATCACCTGCGTCATTTCTTGTGCATCTTAACTTTATTAGCCTAAATTTTCATGCATTTTAAAGGCATGGTATCAATTTTCGTTTATATTAACTGCATTTAACTTCAATTATCATGCATATTAAGTGCCTCTTATCTCATGCATATTAACATTACGAGGCTCACTTCTCATGCATATTAACTTTACGAGGCTCACTTCTCATGCATATTAACTTTACGAGGCTCACTTCTCATGCATATTAACTGCCACAACAACACTGAAGCCGTCAAAGAAGTTGGGCTGGGTGCTAAGGATGCCTTCGGTGCTCTGCTCCACAAGACTGCCTCGCACGTCGGGGTTCATCTCCAGCAGACACTGCAGCAGCTGCTCGCCGCGCGGCTTACCGAGGCTGTCTTTACTCACGAATAAACTGGAAAAATACGGGAAAACTTTACTATCTGCATGTAAAGGGGAATAATAAACACATTGACTTTATTATCCTCAGGTGAACTGAAGAAATACAATACAAGTATATATACGAGGGGCATCCGGAAAGTAGTACCCGTTTGGGAATTGAACAAAAGGAAGTAAATATTGACAAATGTAAACATGTTTATTGAAAAGAACATATATTACACTGCTTCTCTACATTATCTCCGGACAAATTTAAGCATTGTTTGTATCGTGTCACTGAGTTTTTGTACATTAAAACATTAAAAAATTACGGCGGGCAATTCAAAATCGACGGCGAGGTCCGTTGTCTACTGGCGTCATTCTCCTGCACGATGTTGGCAGGCCGCATACGGCTCGGATAAAGCAACAACTTATCCAAAAATTCAAGTGGGAAATTTTCGACCATCCACCCTACAGTCTGGACTTGGCTCCTTCAGATTTTCATCTGTTTACGAAACTCAAGGACTTCGTGGCAGGGACAAGGTTTCAAAATGACGAACTGAAAGAACACGTGACTACGTATCGCAATACACTGCCGGCGGAGGCATATGACACTGGTATACAAAAACTCGTGACACGATACGACAAATGCTTAAATTTGTCCATAGAATAAGTAGAGAAGTAGTGTAATAAATGTTCTTTTCAATAAACATGTTTACATTTGTTAATATTTACTTCCTTTTGTTCAATTTCCAAACCATTACTATTATCTGGATGCCCCTCATACTATGGCCAAGGCAAGTTAATAAATGTATACTATAAGTAAACTCTACTGTTTCCCATGTACACTGGAAAATACGCGCAAAATTCACTATCTTCATGTGAACTAAAACAAAAGCATACTAGACTTTGTTCACTGTAAACTGAAAAAAACTAGTAAAGTATACAGAAAAACAAGTGAAAACAAGTTAACTATTCTGAAAAAGGGAAAAGGAACAAAGGAACTTGACAATATCATAATATTGAGAAACATATCTAGCCAGATATTTATACAGCGTCTTTTATACTTACTTGAAAAAAGAATAACGAGTCACTAAAAAATTATTGAAAATTATAACAACATCAGTCTGATAAAAAGAATCAAGTTGTCAATTATGTGTTTTGTGTTGAGTTGATATACACAGTTGCAATCATGAGTTGATTAGTTGATTATGAGTAGATTAGCATGTTATCATGAGTTGCAATAACAATAGTTCATCATCAATTAGGTGTTGTTTTTGTGTTGAGTTGCTATATATAGTTGCAAACATGAGTTGATTATGAGTTGATTATGAGTTGATTAACAAGTTATCATGAGTTGATTATGAGTTGATTAACAAGTTATCATGAGTTGATTATGAGTTGATTAACAAGTTATCATGAGTTTCAATAATAATAGTTGATCATCTCACTTGTCCAGGTCACATTGTAGGTGCCGGCCCTCATGTGTTTATCGCTTGCTAGTAGTCCAAGTTTAGTTTATAATGTAGTGATACTCTTTTTAAGCTTTAGCGTTTTAATAGAGATAGAATAAACTAGTTCAAGTGAACGGTCTTAACCGATGTTTTAATGCTGCTGGTTCAGCTAATAAATATTTGTGCAATTCCTGTAGGCTTCAGCTAGCCCTGTCTCAGTCGTAACTCATCAATTTATTTGCATTTATTTTTTGTCTTTTCTTTATTCAATAACCCATGTCTTGTCTTTTTCTCCCTGGTGTTTTTACAGTTAGAGAACTTGCATTGTGTTGTTCTAATGGCCGACTAGCATTCTGAAGCTTTGCACAGTGGTTGACCTGGTGAGTTCTCCTGTCACCACTCGTTTGTGTTAATGATGGTTGAGTTGAGACATGCGTTGGTTTGGCTGATGACCATCAAAGCTTTGTCCGTGATTAACCTAAGTCTGATGGATATATAATATGATATACCACTTGCTTGATTAATAGTTTTGGTACTTATATTGTTTTGATCATGTTATTTAATCTTGCTTTGCATTTAAATGCTAGTCCATCAGTTAATGAGTATATTTGTTTATAATGATTGCGCTAATGATGGTTTTTTCAAGGTTCTTTAATTTACCTTTTTATACAAGCTAATTTATCGTGTTATTTCAGGGTTCTTGGTTTGGGCAAGACACTAAAGTCTGTCACTTATGCACCCACTTTTTCTTTTTCTTTGTTTACGTTTGTACGCTTCATTTCTTCTGTGTTTATATTTTTTCTTGTCAATCACGCTCCGTGTTTCATTTTCCTTCACACCATGGCTAAACCAAACCAGAGATGAAATGTTGAGCGGAGTCAGATATACTAGTTGAAACCTCTCCGCCTACAACATTGAGTTGATTAACAAGTTATCATGAGTTGCAATAACAATAGTTGATAATCTCACTTATTGTCCAGGTCACATTGAGTTACTAAGGCGTCATCAAGGACCGTAACCTTGCCTATGCCGGGCAGGACAAGCGACCGCAGCACCTCTGCTCCCAGCACGCCACTGCTGCCTAATCCTGTACAATTAATTATTCAGATAAATATATTGTGATACATGAAAAAATGCTCAGCTATATATGCTTTTTAGCACCACAACCAACAAGAAACCTTAGCATTCAATCAAATTAAAATAAATAACATTCAAATTTATTCCATTCTGGAGTGAAAAATTCTTCAAACCACTGAGATTCAAAATCATTATTATAAATAAATTAACAGCAGCAGATTAATAGTTAACATTAACATAAATTCTAGCCTAATTTTTTAAGCTATATATAAATTTTGAGAAATATATAGAGGAAATCAATATGAGAAATTGGGACATGAAAATTGAATGATGAATTTGAATTCATTGTCCGTTGAAAGCAAATACAGTATAATTACCAGTCCTTCAGATAAAAATAAAATTTACAATTTTTAACTGATGCGAATTCATCAGCAGCAATAGGCAAAGCTCTTTATTCATTGACAGTAACTTGCATTACTGGAACATTGAAATTGAATAGCATTGATAATAGTTAAGCATAGGTACTGTAGCCATAGACAAAAGGCCAACCTTTTATCCAATGATGTTAACTTTCTTTACTAGGAATTTGGATAAAAATACAATTGAAAAAGGTTAAACCTACATCATTAGGAGGCATTAATGAAGTTGAGTTTATTAAGAAAGGTAATTAAATGCATAGGATGGCATCACCTTGAGATGACATCGCTGCACTGGACCCACAGAGGCAGACATGAGCAGCTTCCAGCAGCGCCTGCCCATGGTCTCCCCAGAGTCTGTTAAGGAAAAATTTAGCTCTCAGCCCACAAAGAATATGAACTTTTATCACAAATTGACAAAACGTATATAATAAGAAATTTGATGAAGTTCAGCATAAGCTTTTCTTTGAATTGAAGACCAGAGCATCAAGTTGATTGATTGATTGATTGAAGACCTTGTGAATCAAGTCACGAAAAGTTCAAGAATCGGCAACAGGCCATGGGCCTATTTTTTTAATGCCGACACTTCTATTCTATTCTATGCTTTTTATTAAGAAGAAATAAGAATAAATAAGAAATTTCTATATAAATGTATTAAAATTATTGATGATAACAATAAAAAAAATCATCATGGCAGACACAACCAGAATAAATGAATGGATAACTAAATGCTTTAGTAAATCACAAATCATGAAGTGCTTAATGTTTAATAGATAGTTTCATGATAAGGAATGGAATTGTTTCTAATGGAGTTTTCCTAATGAAAATGGTAATAAATGGGATATGAGTATAAAAATATGCTATATAAATGTCAATTAATACAATTTTTGCAGAGAGTTTTAGAATATCATACCTGAGTTGTCTATCATACTTCTTAGTTTTATCACTTTGCTCGGACAGAGGAGTAGCCGGCTTGCTATCCATATTTGAACAGCTTCAAAGTTACTATGCTCAAAGCTAGCTTTTAAAACAGTGACACTTTCAACCTATTCAGCTCAATATGGATCCTGAAATAAAAAACATTGATTATAGTATATAATAACTCTTAATTATAAAATCAAGGTCCAAATCAGCTGCCATTATGAAAAAACAATAACATTGCCAATACACTCAATAATACCATGAAATATAATAAAGGAAAAAATGGAACCAAAAAGCTATGACAAACTAAGCTTTCTAGTTTCTACAAGTAAGAATACAAAAAAATATTATTGGATTGAACAATTATTTGATGAAATTATTGGAATTATTATTTTCCTTTATTATCCTGACGAAATGTGCATTGGAACTATTATCATTGTTGCACATTTTGGTAGGTACCTACTTGTAAAAGCACATTTCAAAGCTGATTTCTTTTCATAGGTTGAGTGGAGCTTAAATTTGAACAGGTACCCTGAGATCTATGGACTTCTGCAGGGATTATCCTACTATAGAGAGCCCCAAAGGAAAGCATTAAGCTGCTTTGCTTGCATATGAAGCATGGGTATGTGAAGTGCTCTCAACAGTCAGATCAGGCATTTGCCAGCAAGAAGTTGCCTCCACTTCCCTAACAGCCTATGCATACAAGAGCCCAGCAGCATGCACTTTTTCAATTGCAATTGCTTTGGAAAAATTCAATCCAAATGTGTTGGCAAGATCTGAAGTCGTAAATTATGCCGCTGATGCGTCACCAATAATCTTCAAATATTTACCCACTTTCTGCACCCTGATATGCTCAGTACCATATAGCTGGGCCACCTGGGCCCTTGGCCTAAACTCCACCAAAGCTTTCACTTGATATGGTCTTCTCACAAGCTGTAAGTTTCTGGCTAACATTAACATCCATAGTCTCCACAGACTGTGGAGGCTACGGCTGTTGGTATGGACTTCTAGAGGGATATTAAATTACCAAGTACACATAGCATATTGGAAAACAGGACTTGATAGTTCGGAAAGCTGGACTTGAAAGCTTGGAAAGGCCAGGAACTTTCCATTTAGAGTCCATTATATACATATCTGTTGATGATATTCTTTTCCAGCTGTGACTGGTTGATGGGATTGCAATGTCAGCCTTTCCAGCTGTGATTGGTTGTGCTCAGATATGGTATGTGTACTGGCTAACTTAATTATTAAACTAACTTGACTTAAACTTAATCATTACAAACAATGAGCCTGGAAAATTTTCAAAAATCCAATAAATAAAATGAAAATAAAAAATATCAATCAAACAAGAGACAGCTGAAAAATTCTGTAACAAATCTGAGGTACTCTGCAATTGAAAAAGTTTGTCCACTTTTGATCACTCTTTTCCTTTATAGTCACTCTCCTGGCAGAGCGCTGTATCTAAGGAAAGCTATCCACCTTGGGTGGAAAGCTTTTTTCATTCATAAAATTCCACTGTTCACAGTGGCGGCAGGGGTTGCCTCAAGGCTCAATGAAGCCATCAGAGTCTGTCACCAACCACAAGAGAATCTGAACAGTGGACCGTACCACCAGATTGTCATAATCCCTCATCATACAACATAACCTATTCTGCAGCATTATCATACAAAAGAGTCTGAGTCACCCACCACATGAGAGCTTTATCATAAATAAGAAATTGGTTTAAATCTTGAGCTGGCTGAGAAATAAAAAATATAACTCAGTACTCACTGCAGTGAGTGACAGAGAGCGCATTTTCTTGTCGACAAAAACTTGAGGTCACAGACAGACGGACGGATGAACAGACAGACGGACAGATGGACATGGCAAGCACAATAGTGCATTTTATCCATAAATGAGAAAATGCGCTAAAATATATATATATATATATATATTCAAAAAAAAATCCATGGTTTGTCACTGTGCTTCTTCACCAACTTCCATAGTTTGTGACATTGCAGGTGTGCCAAACCCAAACCATCCAATGCAGCAAGGCAACCAGAGTTATCCCTTCCATTTCCTAGCAACTATCATCAAATGGGGTGATAAGGGACAGTCAAATCAGGACAGCTGTCCCACATTTTGTAGAATTGTTGTAGCAGCTAAATCAATCAAAATATTGCAAAACTAAGAATAGTCGCATAAAGTTCAACATTTTTACTATCTATGTAGCATAAAGCAAGTTAAGAAATCATACATTTTCCACCTTTAAAAAATCCCTGAAAAAAGTGAGATTTTGGAAAAGTACCTACCTCTGCTGAGGTCTGTAGCAAAAAAGATATGCCGTATTAAAAAATTTTACTAACATAAAAGTTGCACATAGGTGTTAGCTTAAAAACATGATACAGCAATCCCTTGATTAGCACGGTTTTGAATACCGCGGTTTTGATTACCGCGGAAAAAAATTTGCGACCTACCCTTAATCTACGCGGTGCCAGTTTTGATTAGCGCGACTTTTTTTCACAACACATCATTTTCCCGCCTCTAGCCAGAGGTGTTACGTTCGTAACAAAAGTGTTACTTTTTGCTTATAGGATCTTATGTTGTTACTTTTGTTACGACTTTTGGAAAAATTCGCCGAATGTTGTTACTTTATGAATTTCAGCCAATAATTCTTTAAATAAGGTCCCGTTCCGTAGGCACTCGTGCTGACTAGAGTTGGTTTAACCGCGCTTTGTCTCGTTCATAACTCGAATGGTCGAGTTCGGCAACGTTCGCCGGTAAGTGCGCCATGCCGGTGCTCTAACTTACTCGTTAGCCTTCAACTGGTCAAGATCGCTGCCATATCTACTGCTCATTTTTATCAAAGTACATAATTTTCCTTGATAAATTACCGTCATAATTATGGACAAAAAGGGAACGCTTAAACGTAAAAATATCACTTTGGAGACTAAGCTTGAAATAATTAAGCGTTTTGATAATGGTGAAACGAAAACGAAGATTGGTGAAGACCTAGGGTTTCCCGAGTCAACAATACGCACGGGAAACAATACGTTAATTCATTCACATTTTTTTTATTTATTTCCCCTATTATTTAGAAAAAAAAATATGATGAATTTTAGTGGAAAAAAAAATTATTATGTAACTTTGCTATTTTTGAGGATTCATTATAATTATTCCCATATATTCTTAAGTTTGATTAGCGCAGTTTTGCTTAACACGGTAAAACTCGGGGATTTATTAACCGCGTTAATCAAGGGATTGCTGTAGTTGGAATTTGCGAACCGGTAGGTTATCTCATTTAAAAAAATAGGACAGCCATTTCCGCAAGACAGGGTAATAAGGGACACCCCTAAAAATGCACTTACAGTAGAACCTCAATTAGCAAAGGCTCCAGTTAAGGGGATCAACTGGGTCAAAAATAAAAAATTTTAGTTTTTCCGTTTTATTGGCTCATTTTGTAGCTGCTGAAAAGTCGCATCTAACGCAGCAATCCGGATGCATGTGCATGCTCTAATTTTTTCTAGAATTTTTTATAATATATAAAATGAATATTTTCCAACAATATGTACAAAAATTTCTTCAAATTAAATCTGAATTTTATTGATCACTATGCTTGGTAATTGCAAAGTGTTTGCACTTGTTTGACAGCTACAAACAAGGCGCGTTCAACAAAAACACTACCAGGTATGTATGTGCAATAGATTTGGCGCAAGGCTGTTTCGAACTTCAATAAAATGACCATTTTATATCAATATTTACAAATTTTTCATTTAAAAATAGTATTTATAGATCATTATTTGCGTTAATTGCAAAGTGTTTGCACTCATTTGAAAGCTACAAACAAGACGCGTTTAACAAAGCTACTACCATGTATGTAAATGCAATAGTTTTTGCGTAATGCTGTTGTAAAGTTATGTAAAATGAATATTTTATATATGCATATATTAATTCACGTTATATATTATTATTCACGTTAAACTGGACATAAATAAGTCTAAAGACGCGCGCTGGTACCCTGGAAGCAAATAAATGGCAATGAAAAAGCTTGGGCTACAATATCAAGAAATTTTTTGACATGTTCTTATTTTTTCAATGAATTTTACTTTGATTGGCAACCCACAAAATTGTGCATAGAATGTACAGAATTATTGTCATATAGAAGAAAGGTGAATGAATTGTCTTCTATATGAATTGTCATATAAAAGGTGCAGTCATATAGATTTGTGCACCAGGCAACATAAAATGAAAAGTAATTAACCTAAACTATGATTTATTTCTCCAAAAAAATGAACTAAATAAAAATACTTAACTGTTCCTTTCTGTTCCAGGTATGTTTTTATATTTTTTTGGGTTATATTGAATTTGCTTGACCCAATTAGCCTTTTGCAAAAATACAAGCCATCCTGTAAGCTTACAGATACAGAAGAAATGCTATACTGTCAAAATGGGGTAAATAATAATTTAAAAATTTTCTTTTTAAAGACAACACTTCTGAAGAATCCATTGTCTTGTTGTTACACATGTACAATGAATTTCTAATTATATTTTCAAATATTAAAAAAAAGTATTTTTCAAAAATTTTCTAAGATATCAAAATTTGTAAATTTTCAAAGCTATTTATTCTGTCAACTGATTCATGCATTGTCTCTGACTTTATGCAATTGTGCAAAATTTCAGATTGATTGGACAGGTCAAATAATGTCATACATGGATTATAAGTTTTGTAACAGACAAAATTATTTTTAAATTATTTTTAATAACGAAAAAAAAAATTTAATTTGTAAAATTATTTATTCTGCCAATTGATTCAAGCATTGTTTCCAACTTTATGCAAGTGTGCAAAATTTCAGATCAATTGGACAGGTAGAAGTGTGTCAAATATTGATAAGATTTGTAGCTGACAAAATTATGTTTAATTTTTTTTAATATTGAAACATTTTTTCAAGTTTTAAAATCATTTATTCTACCAATTGATTTATGCATTGTCTCCAGCTTGATGCAGGTGTGCCAATTTTCAGAACGATTGGACAGGTGGAAGTTTGTTAAATATCGATTATAAGATTTGTAGCAGACAGACAGACAGACTAACAACAAGAAGTGAAGATAAAGAGAAGCGTTGTAATATACGTTTAAAAATTGCTTTTTAGAGAAAACTTTTT